TAATTCAGATTTCCATTCAATTCAATTACATCGCAATTCGTGATTCAGATCACCGTTCAACTCAATTCCATTGTAATTCGTAATTCAGATCTCCATACAATTCAATTCCATTGTAATTCGTAATTTAGATCTCCATTGGATTCAATTACACTGTAATTCGTAAGATTCGATAGGAATAGAATTACACAACACCAAGTAATTCAATTATAATAATTACGATAATTACGACATAATTTACAACACTCTTCCGACATAAGAACAACGTAACTCGTGTTAACAAATATCGTGTCACCAATCGAGTACACCGAATATAAATATACCTAACTTACCAATGCTATAAATACCTAACTATTTCAACGAAAAATCGATGTTCGATGATTTTCGCCGATGCAATTCGTTTTGCGTCGCGTCGCGAGCGTTTGGCGCCGCGTTCCGTTCTGTTGCGCGACACCGATGCGTCACACACTGGCCCCAATTAAGTGTCAACGGGACACGGGCGATGATAAAGTTTCCAGGCAAATAAAGGAGCCATAGCAAGCACACGGCGGCGGTCCACGACGGCGTTAATTAATTTAAATCGCGAACACACCGTCGCGCGGACGTGCCTCGTTCGTGTCTCCCGTCTCTGCACGGGAGCCGCGTCTCTCGCCGCGGCTTGACACGCCGTGCAGACCGGGATTTTCGTTTCCCTCGGCAAAAATGTGCAGCGGAAAAATATATATCGAAACGCTGACTCGTAACAATGTTCCGCCGTACGTTTCCGCTCGGAGGATAACGCTGCCATTCCCGTTCACCGTTATATCCGCGACGCGCCGCGTTACATTATGCATGATCGTGGAACGATCCGGCGCGCTCTCGCATTATTCTTTTTCGCGGACAATATATAATATCTTGCGCGGCGCTCGACCGTGTTTTCCTCGCCCCCGGCCACCGGATTTCTGCGCTCGCGATCGCTAATCGACTGAAATTCGACGATAAACCACCTACCTGGTGCCCGGAACACCCCCCGGCCCCTCTGCAAACTCGCGAATTTACAAGGTCGATCGTCTGCGCCGATAACTCTGCCGACCCGCGATTTTCATCCACTCCGGTTGCAAAATGCTTCGTCGTTCTCTTTCGAAAATCGCGCTTTAACTCGCAAATCGAGTGTTCCCGTGTTCTGGTTTTGTTTCGTTCGAATTTTTTTCGGTATTTTCTATTTCTATTAGTTCTATTTCTATTTTTTATTTCTTTTCGCTATTTCTATTTTAGCGTGGTTTATGCATATAAAATAATAATAATATATGAAATATGAAAAAAATATGTAAGATGACTTGTACAGCAGTTACCCCTTTATCAGTGTCTTGAGCATAAATTCTCTTTAGCCTGCCAAGATCTTTATATGATTTATAATATAAATATAACGAATGTGTTTATTTATAAGATGACTATAATATATACATATTGTGAATGTATATAAGGTTATGTATGTATGTGTGTGTGTGAGACCCTACGAATGTATGAATTTATAATATATACACACATATTATAGATGTAACAATATGTATATATTATATAATGTAATAAAATAAATTACACAATATATAATATATGTACAATATATTATTATATAATATATAATTGCAAATAATATAATATATAAATTATATAATAAAATATCTTACAATATGAACATAATTCTACACGTCCAGTAATGTCTCTCTAATTGACGCTCAGATTGTCCACAAAAATGGACAATTCGAGAAAAGGAGACACGATTAATTTGAGTCGTGCGCCTCGTTTTTATAATTACCGATTCTCAACAACTATAAAAACGAGGCGCAAGGCTCGAATAATCGTATCTCCTCTCCCCAAATTGTCCATTTTTGTGCACAATTTAAGCGTCAATTATGGAGACATTACTATATTGCGAATGCACGTATCCATAACTCAAACATGCTAAAAAGCGATAAAAATAACATAAGTGAAATCTCCGAAGGGGTTGAGTGGTGACTTAAACGATGAGGACCATCGATGCAAAGGTCAGGAAGCGTCGATTGAGGGTTAGCGTGTTCGAAAAGGTCGTCGGAAACGCGTTTGTCGGTCGGATCGCAGCTGCGCGGACATTCTGCTTGGATTTTCGCAGACTATGTTTCAAGCGTATAGCTGGCTCTGGTAGCTTCTGTGTAAAGAAAATTACCGTTTTACACGCATTCCATTCGGCGTGGCGCGAGCGTTCCCGCGGGTCCCTCGTCTTGGCGACAATGCGATCCCCTTTCCCACAGTGGACACACCGCTGCGAAACACATTCCACCCACGATTCTAGCTCGCGTTTCTACACGCACGTGCGTTATCTCGCCGATTCTCGTCAGCGCGAACGTTTAAATACCCGAGACGGTTGTCCAACGACCGGAGAGAGTCGGTCAACCAACTACTCGTTCGATTTTCGAACTAATTTGTAGCTTTTCGAATCGACGTTTCGATCAGCGACGTGGAAGCTTTCATGAAATTCGAGCAATTTTGATTCGATTCGATCGACTTTTATTTAGTTGACTTTTAGCAGACCGAATCTATTGCGGTTCTGTTACATATTTTTGAAAGATGCGGCGCGAAATTGAAATTAATCACTTTGATTAGTTGATAATATTTTGATACTAGCAGCCTCAAAAATTTCGTAATATCGGAAGAACTTGTTTGATGAGATGAAAATTAACCCTTTGCGCTCGAGTGACGACTCTGAGGCACCACTGAAAAAAAAAATATAAATATATATATATTGTTATATATCATGTTCCAAGATAATTTTTATATTATCATAGCTTAGATTTTGAACATTACTGAAAGTGTAGCTGTTGCTTGAATCACAAGACTCTCAATTTCGTACGCATAAAATACACTTCGTCGTGTAAAATGAAAGTAATACGAGTCAGCAAAATGATTGTAGATTTACAGTTAAAATGGGTTCGAGTGCGAAGCGTTAATCGCAACATTTTCTCGTATTTAGCGCTCCTTTTTTCTCAGAAAACGAGGAGAACGTGAGTTGCCGTGATTCTAATCCACGCGTGTACAGTTGATTTTGATACGGTGACTTCGAATCCGGTCGCGAAATTGATCTGCCGCGTGAAAAGGGTTTTGAAGAACGATCGAATCAAGCGAGAAGTGCTAACGAAGTCGTGATTCCGCGGGCCGATCGTTAGATCGTTCATGATATCCCGCGAAGCGATCGTCGATGAATGAAAGCGGTCGCCGCGTGGGCGTTCGGGACCAGTCGAATTTTCCCGGCAGCATAATCCGCGGCGGCCCCGGCTGGTAAACAAGCGGTCTGCCGGTGATCGTAGGAAGAATATAAGCACTCCGACGAGAGTCTTTTGTCTCGGCGGTCTTTGTTCCCGTCGACGGATGTCTCGACGGGTCAATGAATCGGTCTCGACGATTCACCAGTGGAAATGCGTTTCGTTTGGTACGCCATGCCGATGCACCAGACTGCATTGTCCGCATGTTTGCGACTTCCATCGTGTCCTGTCCGCGCGTTCCACGTGTGCGCGCGTGTGAGAGCCCGTGTCCGCGTGTCGCTCTGCGCGCGAGAGATCGCCATCGCGGCGCGTCGCGTCGTCGTCGACGACGTTTTACACAGCCACGCTTCTCGAGGCGCAGCCTCGATTTCTACGTGTGGGTGACGGTACGCGGAATTCGTCGCCCTCTCGGGACGGCCATTGACGTAATCGTGGCCCAGATAAGATAGTCTTACGCAAAAGTACTGCTTTCGAACGCCGACGCTCTTGCACAACCCTCGGCGCGCGGGATCGGGATCGATGCTGCCCTACGACCAGCCCAATTGCGATCACCGTTCGGTTGGGTCAAGGTTTTATTGAAAGGGATGATCCGTTGTTCGACTCCAAGGACACGCAATATTCCACTGTGCTGTTTCTTTGGCATTTTTTCACGAGTTTGCTGAAATCGTTTCGGACACGTCGTTGCTCTAATTCGATATTGGCATATGCCTAAGTAATAAAGTTTAAAGGAAAAGGCATTTAAAGTTTTATTTTCACAATAATAATTTGGTTTTCGATAATAATGATAGATTATTTTCACTCAATTTTATTGAAAAAATAATATAATATAAAATAAAATAAAGTAGAACAAATATAAATAAAATATAAAATAAAATAAAATAGAACAAACATAAATAAAATAATATAAAATAGAACAAACATAAATAAAATAATATAAAATAGAACAAACATAAATAAAATAATATAAAATAGAACAAACATAAGTAAAATAATATAAAATAGAACAAATATAAATAAAATAATATAAAATAAAATATAGAACAAATATAAATATAAATAAATATAATAAAAGAGAGATCTACATGAATATTGAAGTGCACCACGGTGCTGCGTTATAAAAAAAATATAGTTTAATTTTTAAAAAATAGAGATTATCTTCAATACTTAAAAAAGAATGACCTTGACGGAGAACCATGACTCACAATATTCTTAGCTTGGAATTAAACGAAGTAGTCCCGACACATTCTCACGCATCGGCGAAAACAATAAAGACATATCAATGTGTAGGACAAAACGAACACCCGGCATAAATTAGTAGATCATGTCAGAGACAACGCCGCAGATCCTCGACAACTTTTCCGGCGTACAGGGGAACAGGGTTGCTCGAGTTCGAAGGTTAATTAAACGATCATCGCGCATAAAGCGAGCCCGGAGTTCCGAATTAGCCCGGGCAAAGTTGCCTGGCAATTAGTTGGAAAGCAACGGGGTATCATCGGATTAACCCGTCGAATTCAAAGAAATTAGCACAGCCGTCGCGTTAGAAAGGACAAAAGGCAAACGTTGTCGTCGCCGGAGCGAACCGAATTACCCGTGATCTCCGTGTCTTCGCCGAAAATCGATCGCGGTCCCGAGCGAAGTAGGCCCCCGCCGTCCCCGGGGCACCGCGCGCATTCAATTATCCGATCGGCGTATAAATTTTAATCGACCGATCAACCGTTTCTGTTTCAGGAAATGACCGTGCCGTCCACGCCTCTGACGGCCATCGCCCAGACGCCCAGAAAGGAGCTCGAGACGAAGTTTACGTTCAATCCAGTGCTGGCGAAGGTGAGAGACCAGAGTGGATCACGAGAGACACCTATCCACGTTGTTTATTATTCACCGGGCTCCGCGAAATTCGAAGATCCGACCCGCCGCAGGGGGAATACACTCCGCAGAAACGGGAACCGATCCGCCGTATCCGTTTCGAGTTTCGCCGGGAGATTCAATGCTCGTTCATACATCGAAGACAGACGAACGCTTCGGAATCGCGGCCGTTGCGAAAACGCGATCCTCGAAACACACCGTTCTTTAACCCTCGTATCGTCGTCGCGCGATTTTCTCTCGATTCTGTCGCGTCGCTCGACGAGCTGTCTTATACGGTTATGTCTCCCTAACTGACGCTCAGATTGTCCACAAAAATTTGGGAAGAGGAGATACGATTATTCGAGCCTTGCAGCTCGTTTTTATAACTGTTGAAAATTGGTGACTATAAAAACGAGTTGCGAGGCTCGAATTCGCAAGGCTCCTCTTCCCAAATTGTCTATTTTTTGTGGACGATCTGAGAGTCAGTCAATTAGGGAGACATTACTGTAATTGGTGGAAATTCGTCGACGCTGAATCGAAGTCTCTCGAATTTTTATTTGCCGATTTCACTGGACGACTATTTCTTTAAATCGATGTCGGCGTTGGTGTATTTTCATTTCACAATAATATTGGTAATTTTTTCGGATTTACATTCAATTATACTTTCTGCAGATAACGTTAATGTTACGTCGATTGTTACATTTTTATTTGGCATTTTATTTCTGTTGCAAAATATGTCACCGTTCGGTCAGTATTCGTATATTTTTATTTGGCAATTCTTTTGGACGTTTATTCCATTCCTTTTTGCGAATAGTGTTGGTACAGTAATGTCACGCTCAGATTGTCCACAAAACTGGACAATTTTGAAAGAGAAGATACGATAGTTCGAGCCTTGTGACTCGTCTTTTATGGTTATCGATTGTCAACGACTATAAAAACGAGCTGTACAACTTAAATTAATCGCGCCTGCCCTTCCCAAATTGTCCATTTTTGTGTGCAATCTGAGCGTCAGTTAGGGAGACATTTCTGTATTAGGTCGCGGCATTATTATATTTTCAGGTGACAATTTTTCTAAACCTACAATTCATTCCACTACTTCTGTCAACAGATTTTAGTATTAAATTCATACTCACAGAAATCTAATAATTAAAAATTCGTACAATTTCTATACCCAAAATTGCAATACTTCGATCGTCGCACGATTCATGTCCTCAAAGTTGCAGCAGTTTGAACACAACGTCATCTGTTTTTTATCACAAAATTGCGATGATTCGAGTAACCAGCAGTTCTTTCCACAAAACTGCTGCACAAAAGATATTAGACAAAAATATTACACGAATTCGTGCCGCAAAAGAGCGGTCCAATAACACTAACCGAATATTTATCGTACGAAGCTAACCGGAAATAATTCATTCCTACACCTAAATAGTTCTGAAAGCGGCGCAATCTTTCACCGAATCGCAATAGCTGCGATATCGACAACTTCTTGGCAAACTTACTCCGCTTAATACTTTCGCAATCAACGGTGGAAAGATCCCGGACATAAAATTGCCACTTCGTAGCTGTCGAATCGAAGCGAGGGCCGGGCATCGATCGCAGAATCGCGTATCGATCCCGCGGAGCGGCGTGCCACTTGGCGGCTCTCCAAGATTAGTGGATGCTGTTCTCGGCGCGGGCCGGGTCGGGCCGAGCGTGTTCCACGGCGGATAAGAAGGAAACAGCTTTCGACGGGAGCCTGGGCATTATATAAAACCGTGGCGGAGGGATTTCGGTTCGCCGGTAGCGTTCCGCGACCGCTAAATACCGTTCGAGCGACGCGTGTCCGTCCGATCGATCGACGCCGGAAGGCGTTCTCGGCCCGCGTAGACCCGAGCGGGCCGGGTTTCGTGCCACTTGGCACCGTGTCAAGAGTTTCGTGGTCCCGAAAGCCGCGGCAAGAAACGGCCGAAGAAGCGGCCGCGGACGAAATGGGGAAAAAAATACGGAGATATCGGGTCGTTGTAAGTCGATTAATTTCACCGGTTCCTTCGACGTATCGCTGCCGCGTGCGCGCGCTTCCAGTCGCGGTTTTCCGCTCGCGGTTCGCTGAAACTCGCCGGAATTTTTCGCCGTCCGCCGCGGGAATTTGTCTCCGGACAACCGTGAAATGTAATATCGGCGGGTATTTACCACCCGTTTGACAATTACGTTCTGCAGGAATTTTTATGGACGGACGCGGTGTAACGCGACAAAGAAATTTCCGCGTTTAAAAATGTAATTGCGCGCTCGACCGGCGAAAAAGTTTCCGTCGCGGCCGCTGCTCCGGCGCGGCTCGTTAAAATCCGAATAAACGACCAGCGACGCCGCAACCGGCCGAAGTCGATCGGTTTTAGCACTTTCGTTGGCATCGAACTTCGTCTCGAAAAGTCATTTATAATTAGAACCAGGCGGTTGTTCATAGCGGATCGCGATACAATGTACCCCGGCTCCGCAAAGTAGTCGGACGATCGCTTCGTCTTAATGTCGATATTCGAGCCGTTGTAACTCGGTGGAGAAAAATTGCACGACGACGAAACCGGTGTCGTTTTAAAGCTTTATCCTTCTACTTTCGAACGCCGTTAATTATTTTTGTCTAATCAATTTTCGCACGATGTGGCGCATCGAAATCAGGAGACGCGTTTCGGTTCGAAAATCTCACAAATTCGAACGTTCAGAAAAAACGGTGGAAAATTTATTTCGAGATTACATTTTCCATGGTTGCGAAGACCGAAGTTTCCACTTCGCAACGACACCCTGAGATTTGACGTACGATTCTTCTGGTCGTTTTATCGGCCTCTGAACGGATGCTGCATTTACCGTCAACTTTATGCGAATTGGTTCCATAAAACGGCCCCAAAAAGATCTTAAATCAAGTTTCACGAGTTTCAATCCACACCGCGCGAAACTAGAGGCTTCGAGCGTTAAGACGAATCCGGTTTGGTCATTCTACGATTACTGTTTAGAACGTTATAAACGCACTGTGCGGAATTTTATGGAAAATAAAGATTGTCCGTACTGTTCGCGAGATACAGGGACCGCGTAGATATTCATTTTGTTTCGTAATTACAAATTTCGAAAATTTGGAATTCGTTGGAATTCGCTGTTTCGTACTCGATCGACTCGCGTTTCTCGCAAATGCACCAAATCCACCGCAGTCCGATTGTAACAGTTTGAATCACGACGGTTCGTCGAGCATCGAAAATCTCCGGTGCTCCATTTTCTGATCGGCGCCGTGAACATTTCTTTCGAAAAATCGTGCAAACAGTCTATTTACGACCGACATTGTTTCCTCGGCATCCCCGGGGAATTAATTGGATTCCCGTTTTTACGATGGCGGCGGAGTGCTAAACGTGACCCGATGTTTTTCGTGTGCCAGAGTTTCGCTGCTGCTCCGTTTCCGCGGCAATAAAGCCTCGAAGCACGGCTTATTTGCATTTCCCGTTGATTTTAATCAAATAAACGTTGCAACTACACACGGTTCTATATCAGCTCGCGGGGGCTAACGGGAACGGTTGCCTTTTGATTCCGAGTTCGCCGTCGTCTAGGGGTTAATTTATCATCCTTTCGAGTTGGATAGCGACCAGAGCGGAGTACCTCAGGCTTTAGAACTGTTACCCTTATATGCGGCGGTAAAAACGGCGCGCGGGTCATTATCAGGAGCGTCCTGGCCACATAAATCGCTTCGCCACTTTTTAACCTTTCTGTGCGGTCGGCAGAAAATGTATAAACAAGTTTCACGTCCTTAGTTTACTTCGTTTCGCTCGATTTTTCTTGCGGTTGCGCGTATAGTTCAAGGTTCCGGGGGTCGTTTACTGCTTGATTTATTAATGTTTGCAACCCCGTACTTAATAATTACAAGCGTGTTCTTAATATTCGCCACGGTCTCCTTAATATTTGCGATCACGTTCTTAATACAGTAATGTCTCCCTTACTGACGCTCAGATTGTCCACTAGAATGGATAATTTGGGAAGAGGAGATACGATTATTCGAGTCTTGCGGTTTATTTTTATAGTTATAAATTGTCCACAATTACAAAAACGAGCGGCAAGGCTCGAATAATCGTATCTCCTCTTCCCAAATTGTCGATTTTTGTGGAGCGTCAATTAGAGAGACATTACTGTAAAAATTATGAAATAATCGAATCTCTTCGCGTTTCCCGAATAATATGAATTGACCGACGACGATCTCCGTCGTCGTTCTCGGCCAATAGCGATCGAGTGCCACGGCAGTGGGGCAGCTAATAAGGGTGTGGGGGTGGGGGGAATATAAGCGCAAAGGCGGCTTCTTGTCGCGCGAGGACTATACGTTGTTCCGCATACAGTAATGTCTCCCTTACTGACGCTCAGGTTGTGCACAAAACTGGACAATTTTGGAAGAGGAGATACGATTATTCGAGCCTCGCGGCTCGTTATTATAATCGTTGACAATTCGTAATTATAAAAATTAACTGCAAGGCTCGAATAATCGTATCTCCTCTTCCCAAATTGTCCATTTCTGTGGACAATCTAGGTATCAATTAGAGAGACATTACTGTATTTGCAACTTCGTTCTCAATATTTTCAACCACGTTCTTAATATTTTCAACCGCGTTCTTAATATTTTAAACCGCGTTCTTAACATTTTTAACCGCGTTCTCAATATTTGCAAGCCTGTTTTCAACTCCGAGGTGTTCGCTTTATCCGCGTCGCATGAACTAATCCACAAAATTCTGACAGAGGAAACGGTCATGCTTTCGAGTCGCGCAACTTCGAGCAAAAGAATCATAAAGTATTTTGCCTGGTCAAGTGTGAAAGCAGAGACTCGACTCTATAAAACGAGCACAAGCAGAACTTCGTAAGATCGTTTAACAGGGAGTTACAAGAGTTCGAAGTTCGACAATTTCTCAGCGACAAGTAGACAGCGGATGTTTGCGAAGAAGAAAAATTGTCGTGCGGAAGGGCAATAATTTTCTCACGCCGTTGTCAAATATTTGGACGAGGTTACACATAGCTTGCGAGATTATCTATTATTTTGTATTTCACATGTTATATATACATATATACAAGGCTGCGTACAACGAACTTTGTACAATCGATACAATCGACATTTTTCGAACGCGTCTCCGTCGATTCGATCAATAAAATCGAACGATAAAATAACGATTCCGCTGCCCGGGAGCAACGACATTGTTCCAACGGAATTTTGGGCCCGTCGAATGGGCCGCATGGCGGTTCTGTTCCCATACGAACGTAAAGAACCGTCGAAGGAGAACGCGCGTCTCTACGCGCAATAGGTCAATTTCGATTGACCCGTGTCGTCGACGGTAATGCACGCCCTTGAGCGGCTCGTGTATGGATAATGGGAAACCCATAAGTGGGGCTGGTTGATTAGTATAACCGTCGCGGGGTTACCGCGATCGCCGAGCCCCGTGCACGGCGATTCGTTTCCCCGGTGTACCTTGTGCCTTTTTCTGACGATTTCCTCGTTTCTGTTCACAGTTGACCGAAGTACCGCCGCCGGAGCCGACGAAGCCTCGTAAGTAAACTTTTCCACGCTTGCATTCTGTCTTTCTGTCACCGGTAATCCCCTGTCGAGTGGAAATGCTCGATGGCGCGATCAAAGTCGGGAATCCCGTTACCCGTTCCGGCTCGAGCGTAACTCCTCCCGCCTGCGGTAGCGCATCGGAAAGCTATCCCATTATAGGCTGACACGGTAACGCGCTTGTTAATATTACCAACTTTCTTGTTACGTCTTTAACGAACTGCGTACCCGTAGCCGTTCGCGCGAAAATCCGACGTCGGATCGATCGTTTCCGGCTCGGACCGTTTTATCGTTCGTGAATCGGCGCTTCGGAGATCTTCGGAGCTCCTGTGTTACCCGTTTCGAACGTTCACCGACGTGGCCACGCGGCCGTTTATGGTCCAGGAAGTCTGCTCGAATTTTTCAATCGCAATTGAAAAGGTGCGTGTTTGTGCCTTTTCCCTTTCGCAGGCTGCGGATCTTTGCGAGAAATCGACATTTGCTTTAGCGATCGTACACGCGAGGAGTTTCTTTCTTTCTTCGATCGTTTTAGCAAGTTGAAAGTAATACATAAACAATTTTTGGACAAGGCTATATTGTTTATGGTTAGGAGATTATTTATTATTTTTTATTTTATATAGGTTATATATACATATATACAAGGTTTTATATATAGCGAACGTTATACAATTGATACAGCAGAGTTAAAGAAATATTATATTTTATATATGTATATATTATTATCAAATTTTTCTGATATTTCAAGTTTTTTATCTTCCAATTTTTACGATAAATGCGAAAATCCGCGATCCAGTTACCATTTTTGCAGATTTTGTTCGCCATCCGAATTTTTATCGTTCATTTTTACGAAGGTTTCATTTATTTATTAAGGTCTACTTTATCACGTGAGAGGCAGGATTAATTTTTCAAACGAAATGCGGGTGTCAATAGTTTTCCTAGCCTTTTACAAAGTTTTATTTACCGCGGGTGTCCATATTAATTCAGTCATTTTTCTACTATTTTCTTATCAATCTCTCTGTCGGTATAATTCGCGAAGTCTAATTCGAGATGCATTGAATTTTTTGAAATTTGACTTGCCAGTAGTTTCGTCAGAAACATATATTCTTCATTCGTTCCTGACACTCGTCAATTTTAACAAGGTTTTATGAAACGTCACCGTTAGCCGAATTTGCTTATTCATATTTAACGATATTAATAATTCATATTATAAGCCTTTCAGAGAAATTACATTGTGTCATTTATGGTTTGGCCAACGCGATAATCAAAATATTCATGAACGAGGAAACGGGGGTGTAACAGTCGTTATTATACCCATTATAATTTTGAGGTATTCGTTCGGCGTATCGCCACATAAATTAATTGTTCGACTTATTCCGGATAACGAACCGAATTCGATACCGTTGACGAAACCAAAATCGAGAGGATTGTGCAGCGATCACCGCAACAGACAGCGAAGCGAGAAACGGAACGGTTAAAAAGCTGTTTTCCAGAAAATTCCATTACGCTCGCTCGATTAAAATAAGGCTGGGCAACAGCTATAAGTAATTCATTAATCGGGCATCCGTTCCAATATTGTTCGAGTAAACACGGTGCAAATTCCATGCACCGGTATCATTAACTATTGCAGCTACTAATCGACCATTGTGGATGCTATTCGCAACCAATTCCACTAGAACTGATTAATCCCCATTATCCTAGCAGTAGCAGCAATCAGCCGCCGCCATTTACTCTATCCCCCCGACCGGAAAATTCAGAACAATTTCACTCCAATTACATCAATTTGAAAAACAATGTACTCGCCGGCAGCGCGCTGCGCCGGGCCGCGCGCCGGCTCGCAACAAAAGAAGCGTATTTGAAAAATTGCCGACCTCTGGGAAGTTCCCGACACTTCGGATAATTCCGGGAATCGTTACACGTGTAAACCCCCCCGTAGGTACCGAACCCTCCTCCTAACAAGGAACGGCGGCAGCGTATCTCTTTCCAAGAAAGTTGCGCGCCGCGTTTACCGGAACAAAAGTGCACTCGACGCAGGCCGGGGGCCTAGTTAACATTTATAGTCCATTACACAGTTAACTTGCTCGCGGATTTTATTGCCTGCACCGGTGCTTATTTTATGTATATTCCGCTTGCAATGTTTAGTCCCGGTGCACGCTGAACGGATACGGTAGCCACTCGATTATCCGGCCCATCAGAATCTGCATTCACTGTTGTCCGAACACGTTTACCCTGTAATCACTATACACGGCGGATTTGATGCATTTCTCACAGGGAACGAGTAGATCGAAACCGAAGAGACTGTTAGAAGCATTCGAGGGATATTGTTACATTATTTTCAACCAATTTGTGTGTTTTTGTCGTTTTTGTTTCGCGTAACGATTCGCGATTATAGTAATCACTGCGCTGTAAAATCATCGATTGCAACGAGCATGTGTCAATTAGACATTGCTTTCTTTCTTGAATTATTTCAGCCAGTCGAAAATAATGCGTTGATGTTCTGAAATGATTTTAATATTTTTATTGTTTTAAACAGCCTCTAGCAATGTTTGTTATAAATGCGTCCAGTCTTTTTCTTCACGACAATTCTAAACAATAATTATTGCTGGCGACGACTTGTCGTTCCTATTAATCACCAACAGATTGCAGGTCTTTATTATAATTATTATCAAGCTTTTTGTTTATGCAAATTCTCTTGGTTGGCAAGAAAGGTTTCCTTCGTCGACTAAGTGTTAAAATCAATACTAATAAATATAATAAATAAATAAAATATAATTTTATAATGATAAAATCACTACTAATTGTTAAAAGAAAATAACAAAAATGTTATCGTACGCTTTCTAACATTTCATCGCAGTCTGATTATGATCGTCGTTAGGCTAAAGTGAAGACGTCCAACATTTTGACACGTTATAACGATCTTTCGGTAAACAAAGATTTGTTATGCAAGTTAAAAATTATCCAAGACGATTTTACAGCCCGCAAATAAAAATAGTCCGTTCAAGTCGAATATATTATTCAACTAATTATTAACATTATTATTAGATTCACGGTTTTAGATTTCAGCTACTAATCCTCGTCATAAATCCATCGAATAACAGAAATAAAATAACGCCGAGCGTTTTGAAATACTTGGAAGTATCGCCACGAGAAGTTACGGATTAATAAAATCGCCCGGCGATCGTCGGCTCGGCACACGATGTTTTCATAAAATTGCACCGCGGCGATGGTTTCGCGGCGGGGAACGAGCGTCGCGAAAAACCCGGGGACCCGTTGCCTGCCGCAAAAACCGTGGACGTCGATTCCCGGTCGCGTTTTACAGTCGCTGACCTTTACCATTAAACTCCGCATCCCGGAGTAATTTGTATTTCGCTCGTTGTTCGACTACCTACGCGAGCGAGCCGGCGAAAGAAAAGAACGAGTTACAGCTGGCGGCGCTTCGTTTAGCGTGAACATTTTTCACTGTACCGGGTGAGCCGTTCGTTGCTTCGTTTCCCGATGTGTTCCACGTTTCCGTCTTCCAGACACGATTCTACGCGCGGGCTTGCCATCCCGCGTTGTTAACCCCTTGACTTACCTATTGGAAATGGGTAGATAAATAAAAGTAAAACGCAGTGAATTAAACTTATCCCTTTTAGTTTATTAATTTGATGTACGAGGAAGGACCGTCTTTACTCTCCTGATTGCTCCAGGAGACTGAAGACTATTCACAAAGACGAAACCAAAAACGTCACCTAGAGACAAAGAGCCCTCTGTTCTATATACATATGAAATCATTGTTTATCTAATGGTACTCTGTCGAGACTCTCGGCGTCGATTCGTTTTTGTAACTTATATGCTAGAAGGAAAAACTTCTGAGTATACAAAAGAGAGAAAATAATCCAATAATACCATTTCTTTTTTCGTAGTTACTGCGATTCGAAATTTTTCGATCGCAATAATTTCTTATAAGAGAAAGAAAATCAATTTGTGCCTAAATTAACCTGAATGCCTAAATATTGATGCCAAGAGATTCGAATTTTATTGTAATTTTAAAGGACAGAATAACATCTGTACTCGATAAATTATTACTAGAAACTTTTATGACGTGTGGGGCTCGTCAAAGTACGGCAAGGGGCTAATAGACCGTGTGCTTTGTTTAACCGACAAAAACGAATCGATGAAAAAAGATGTTCGATCGATTCCGGAATATGTTTGCATTATTTTTCATCGGAATTATTCAAGCAGAAAGTCGATCCCTGTCGAAGCATCGATGCCGGTGATCGACTATTTTTATTTGAAATCGATAATCTTGTTATCAGTCCGTCTCGATTTTCATTTAAACATCCCGCATCGAATACAAAACAAGCGACAGCTTGGACGGTTTTTCGTTCGGTACGTTGAAGAGAACTTTAGACGAGCGTTGTTTCATTATTTTCACCGGGTTTGTTTCAATCGCAAGTACACATTTTCAAACAAGAGTCAGACTGTGCAATGTATAATATCTTCGTGCATTTTTATTCCATGCGTCGGCATAAAAGCGTGATTACGTTCACGGTTTTCGACTCTCGACGAATGCATATTCAAATGTAACTTACTTTCGTTCATTTTTATTTCCCCGTACGCAATTTTCGTATCCCCGACGAACCTGTGGAAAAGCACGACATGCCTCGCGCGTTTTCATTTTATATCCGAGCCCGACCGATTCTCTTTTATTCCTGTAATTTTCCTACTTTAAATAGTGAAATTGTGAAATTGTCACACGATGGCCAATGGCGCGAAAAATTGTATCGAAACGAACGTCGTGCGAACGTCTTTTCAGCGTGCCAGAATCGAAAACTGTTTCTTCCCGTTGTTTCGGCGCGAAATTAGAACCGTTTCTTCCCGTTGTTTCGCCGCGAAAACATTTTGCCTGGCAAAAACGCAGCGTTTAATCGTCGACGTTTAATCCGACCGACACCTATAATGCTCGCCTTCGTTCAACCCGAAGCATCGTATCGTAATTAGAGTTAGAAAATCGC